TAACAGCATTTACTTCTGTCTAACGCATCCAAACGCGTTTCAAGTGTACTGAAACGCGTTCAAACGCATTTCTGGTGCAAAAAAACGCGTTTCACAGTGCGTTAGGTCAAAAAAATGCCTGCATGGGCAGCGTGAGATAGTGTCGGAAGTAAAAGGCGAACCCACTGATAAGTGGCTGAATTTTTGAGTGATCAAACAATTGTCACATTTGAAAATTCATCGATTTATGTGTAGTACTAGTGCACCATTATAGGATCCTTATTTTTTCACAGTGTATAGGTAGATTTGCACTTAAGTCTATCAGCTATATAGTGCTGCTCGCTGCTGTCATGTTATTATTAAATGCAGCTAGCCAGCAAACGGTCATTCAAATTATACTGCGCTACGCGCACTTCCATAATATGATATATTTTTATCTATAACAGAACCTGACACCACAGAGCCAGTGACATCAGCTATAACATCGACAATCACGTACACCAGCATTGTTTAAAAAGCTTGAACAAGTCATTTAACGTTAGAACTCTCATTATTATCCAGCAAAACATTTCTTTTTAGTCGCTCTAACTACGACGAGTACAACCATAACAACAGCTCTTCCGACAAGTAAGTATATAGATAGAAAAACATCGCACAGAGAGAACAAAAATCATTTTCACACGTGACTGTTCTCGATAAAACATGGTCCAGTTAATGCAACATCTTCATCCTTGTACATTCGTTGAAAAGTTGTATAAAATACCTATTTTCTGTTAGTTTGCGAGGAAACTAAAAACATGCACCATCCTGTCTAACTGGCGTCTATAGTATTTCATCATAATCATAAGTGCAATAGCACACTATTCGAAACGCGACCCATTAACGATAACAATCACTAAGAAAAAATGAATACCAATCGAATGAACGAAGTTCAAAACGTTCGGAGAAAGAAAAGCTCTCTGCTACTTGATACAACTACCTTATTGTGAAGTCAATTTCTGAGTGAGGGGATTATTGTGCACACCATGGCCAGTTGATGAATGGCTTTAAATGTTGGAAGAGTTAGCAGTACAAGATGACAAACTCAAGACTCAGCGAATGGGTTTAAATCAGTGTTTGCTGCAGTTACACTAAAGAAGAATTCGGTTTAGTTCGATTGATTTTTTAGAAAAAGACAAGGCCAAACGCAACACAGCAGAGAGCGATTTTAAACCCAGTCTTGGACCATTATTTCAGCATGAGATAATAAGAGGAAATGATGAAGAATAGTGAGAAAAAACTTCAGGAAAATACAGAAACAGCAATTGCTTCAAATGCTGTTCCAGTAGGAAAATTAACTCAATGCATCCCATGCCGCTGTTACATATTTTGTTTGTAACGTCATTCCACCATATCACTAGCATATTTTAAAGGATTCGAATGAGTGTTGATCATCGATTCTTTCTCTTTTCAAGATCCTTGCAATAACACAAATACACCAAATCCATGTCAAAACGTTTTCTTACACTGTGGATAAAAAATGCCGTAGTAAAACACCGTAATGCTTGAAAAAAATGTATCCACAGTGCATAATGAAGCTATTCAAGGTGCGTCTTTTAACTTATTTTTTTGATACTGGATACCAGTCAGACGTCTCTGCGTCTTGAAAAGTCACTTCTAAGGTGTCCCATTTTTCACTGTGATGACACAATCAGACACCGAAAATAGTGGTGTAACGAGAAAAACGACCGTAGTACGGCGGCGCCGTAGTTTTTTTTCAAACATCTGTTTATGGTAGTGTAAGTCTTTTTTTTACCCGATTTTATACTTTTTCTCAGTGGCACCGCAAAAATTCCAGGTGGTACGACGTCGCCGTACTTCGCCGTATTGTGGTTACGCCACTAATCGAAAAGACATCAATCAGGCATGTCTACTGAAAAAGACTGAAAAAGATATAACAAGCGTCTGAAAAATAATTTTCCTGTTCATTCTCATATTTATGAGTTTATTCGATTGTTACATGATGAACATTAGAATTATATCATAAATTGTTTTTAAAATGGATAATTTTCCTACCGTAAGTTTTGACATCACAACGATGAATAACATATACACAGACTCAAGCGCACAATAGGAATTACGGTCAATTTGTTGCAGAGATACAATTCTTTTTTTTTATGTACTACCTCCAATTGAGTAAATAAAAAGAAGAATCAAAAATAAACTTAGCCAGAACATAAAACAGAACTTGCAAAATTGAGAAGTGTACAAAATGAGTATTTGAAAATAATCTTTTTTTATATACAATTATATATACGCATATTTATACGTAGAACCAACTGCACCATTGTTTACATTAATATGCAGGTTCATTTGAGCATCAAATGCGATTCCGTTTGACGTACCAGTAAATGTTAGTGGAATTAATGTTCCTGAACCCGATACTGAAGTAAACTGATATATGCCCGATGTTTGACTGACATAAAAGTTTCCACAATCATCTACAAATAACGAATTCGCACCACTGTTCGCTGGGAGAATTCCTACTGTTGAACCGGTCCCGCCGCCTGGGGGGTATTTTTGTATTCGATTATTATTGGTATCAAGTACATAAATATTACCCTGTTGATCAAGTTTAACATCTATTGGTGCGAGTAGATCGTTCGGTCCGCTTCCAGAAGTACCATTTTGTGAGCCAATAATTGTTACTCCGACACTAGAATTTGTCCACAATTGAATACGATGGTATGCGTGGTCAGTTACATATATTGCACCGAAACAATCGACAAAAATACCATATGCCATGCCAGGAGAAGTTTGTCCGCCAGCTCCACCCGCTACTAACGTCCCGCCTGGATACTTTAATACTGAAACAGCGTATGCTACATAAACGTTTGAATAGTGATCGACAGTAGTACCCCAAGCACCTGCTAGATTGGATGCTATTGCGGTATATGGAACAGCAACATTAAGAAGTTGACCGTTTGGAACGGCAAAGTGAACAGCATACGCGCTCCCGCTTAGCAGATCTACAGCCACATTTTTAAGAGCACTTGAACTATTGCCAATCAACGTCCCGACCGAGTTCCACGTGCCAGTAGGACAAATTGTTGGGAACACTATAAAGTTAGACGACGTATAGTCAAAATGGAACTTATTCTCTCGATAGATGAACTATGGGTGCACTGGTTATTTTCCCAGCCTTGGTGAGAAAGAACTTCTGCATTCCAACTGGATCGTTTAAGACTTATTTTGCATACTTGCAGTTGTAGCTTACAATCTTATCTATAAAATTTCATTTAAAAAGTTTGCATCCTCATCCAGTAAAGCGTAAATGTGTCAGAATTTTTCATGCTATGATGATATATTGTTTTCAAATGTCTTCTGTGCAGGAAACTTTTAGTTACTGACGCAAATCATACAAGGCAATAGTAACTGACGAATTGAGCGTAGAAGAATCGACATATAAAATGAAACACCCTGTGATCTGACAGTGTAATAAAAATATTGTTTACTACTACTATTTTTCTTTTTGGCCAAAAACGGTGTAGTAGTATACGAGATTGACGACTACGAGTTAACTCTATTAAAAAAATGACTTTCTGAAATTGCATCCTAGTCATGCAGTTTATCAGCATTATACAGAAGTATATCCTCAAAAATCTTTCTTCCGCGAAGTTACCTTTCCTCTTTTAAAAGATCGGTTTAATTCAAAATGAAAATTTTTCGAATTTTCACGCTCGCTCAGGCGTACTTGATAAGGCGCAAACGTGTATAATTGGGAGGTCATTAAAATTCAACGAGTGTAACTGGCATGACTTGCTGAAAATCTCATTGAATCGATATTGCCTGAAAACAATGTTTAGAAGTATTTTCACGATTAAGGAGCAATCAATCCAGAAATGTAGTAATCAATGCAGTAGCTAATTTAAATTGCATTCTATTAAAACTATTTAGTTCGACGTTTTGACTATATATTTGTCATTATCAAGAAGAAACGTGTCAACAGAGATATAAACAAAAGAAAAGAATTGGAACTATCACTTCTTACACATGTCCTGATATATGCACTAAACTATATTATACTACACTGGAAACCACCGAAAAAATTACGATCTTACCTGGACATGACTGGCTCGTTGTCTCTAGAAAATATGCAAATGCATCATACGCCGTGATATGCAACATAACTTCCACACTTACGAGTAGATGACACCGGCGTACTTGTCGATTCTAAAAACCAAAATTCCTTTTAACTATACGGCAAATACCCATAAACTAGTCTTTTAAAATCCTCAATATACCTTCAACAAAAGACCAAGGGAGGATAAGCGTGTGTCGAGCACCCCAGTAAAGCTCAATAAAACTTACATATTCGGAATCAGCGTAAAATACTGAGTATTTAAGCCGTCTCACTTTTGAAAAAATCGCATTTTGATTTTTATCGAAAAATTTAAGGGCAAAGGTCCTCTTTGGAACATCGAAAACATTTTTTCCTCTAAAATTTTCGAAACACACCTTTTCTGACTCAGAATTTTGTGCTGATCACGAATATGGAAGCTAAAGTTAGAAAAAGTAAACATTTCGTGGAGTCGAATGCCAAAAACTGA